TGTGCCTCTGTACGAGTGTATGTGAATTTGTGTGTGTATCTCTGCGAGAGTGTGTGTGTGTGTCTCTGTCAGTGTGCACGTGTGACTCTGGCCAGTGCTGTTGCTGCATCCCGGTTGTAGACTGTTTCTGTTCCAGCGGCTCCCGGAGGCCGCAGTCGGGCCGAGCCCCTGTGCTCGGAGCTGTACGGCTCTGTGTAATGCTGCACAGCGTGGTGCCAGGGCGTAACTGGTCTGTGCAGTGCAGCGCCCACCCGCCAGCAGGGGCCGGGGCTCTTAGGAATCCAGAGACATTTTAAATCCATGAACTGCCCCACCACTCCCAGCATGGAGGGAGGTGACAGAGCTGCCACCCCTTCGCAGTGACAGGTCCCCATGGGCCGATGGGAAGCTCTCCTAGAACTTGGCGCTCTGGTTGCTGCGAGGACAGCGTGGGGTGGGAAGGTGCCAGGAAAGGGGAGCGCTGTCAGAAGTAGCCCCCCTGTATGGGACCGGTTGAGGGTCTGTCAGGTGCTTGCTCCGACAGCACGGTGTGGAGTGCTCAAAGCCAAGCAAAATGACATTGGCCCAGCTGTTGCTCCAAGGACTTTCCACTTCCCTCTTGTTATTTTGCAAAGTCTAAGTGTTGGCAACCCGCTCGTGGCTGAGTGCAGAGCTCTCTGGGTTCCATGTCTATTGCCAATGCTGCAGCAGGCGTCTGCACTGGCCCTGCGCGTCCCAGGGCACTGACTGCCCGATGCTCAGAGCTGGCAATGCTTGGTGACATGCCCGGGATTTGTCTGGTTCCCTGGGGTCTCTCCAGGTGTTTGCGGAGAAGGGGCGGCCCGTATAAAACAGAACCTGCGAGTGACCTCACCCGCTGGCGACTGAGCAATGAAGAAGGGCGGCAGAGTTGGCGCTACCTGGAGGCTGGCGAGGCATGTGAGCGAGAGCAGAGCGGGCTGGAGGCTCACTGCCTAGGCTTGGACACGGTGAGTGGCTGATTTTCGCTCGCAGCGCAGTGTTTGCCAAGGCTGGGAAAGGGGCACCCACCTGAACCCCATGCTCGTATGGGTGGCTGTAATTCCCCGATTGCTGCCATTGTCTCCTGCCCCCAAATGCTGAGTCGTTGTCTCTGAAGCAAGGCTTTTCAGTGACTGTCTTGGATTCACATGCTTGCTAACTCCACAGGGCAGGCACCGGTGGTGCTGGCATCAGGGGCAGAATTCACAACCTCATGCCAACCTGGTTGTATTGGTTACTGGGGAAGAGGGGAGGTGTCACAGCCCCCTGCCTGGAGCCCTGGAATCTGGCCCCTGAAAAAGGGAGCGGGAGTGGGGGACTGTTTGCCCTGCTCCCTCCCTGCCTGCCGACCCACGCTGGGCTAGGCAGGCCTGTTCCTCTCTGCAGATTATGCACTGAATGACTCAGAAGGTGCTTCAAGGCAGCAAGCGTCCTGCTTGTATCCACACTCCTCCTCTGCTCCCCTCCCACACCTTCTTCATCCCTACGCATGCTCTGCACAGTCGCTCGGTGCTGGATTTGGTGTCCGGGTGCTGGCGTTGCTACTAAGTATTGTGTGAAAGGCCAGTGCAGTGCAGGCCATGCGGGAGGTACACATTCCCTGATTCCCCGTGGGACTGCAGTGCCGCCATATCCCACAGCACAAGGCACTGGATTCTACTGGTGTCTTGGCCGCTGGCCATTCCTTGTGCACAAGCTGGAGCTTTGCTCTTTTAATTTGTGTCTGTCCCTGCTCCTCTTCCTTTCTTTGCAGAGTAAGTTCTTCAAGGCCTTGCCCCAGGCCTGCACAGCCCAGGAAGCAGCGCTGAATGGGATGAAGTTTTACTCTGGCCTGCAGGCGGAGGATGGGCACTGGGCCGGTGACTTCGGGGGGCCCCTCTTCCTGCTGCCAGGTACGGTGGATGAAATGGCTGCGCCATGTGCTCTGAGCGGCAGCACCTCCGCACAGAGTTACCTGCGTAGGGATGGGATAGCGGGTGCCAAGCAGGGTCCGGCAGCGTGGCCAGGGTCTATGGGGTCCGTGGCTCTTTCTCTTTGCTTAGCTGTCTGGGGATGATTCAGGGTCGGGCGCTGTCGCAGGCCTGGGCAGGGCAGCGTCTTGTCATTCCCCAGCACACTGGGTGCTGAACCTTAATGGCCGATCTTTTCCCCAAACAGTGACCTAGGAAATGCCCCGGCTGCATTGCACTACAGTTAATCCCCAGGGAACGTGTCTTTAATAATGAGCTGACGTCTGTTGTGAAGCACCAAGAACTACCCAGCCAGTTAGATCCCCCGTCTGGTTCTGACCCCAACAGCCTGTTCCATCGCGGGGGCTGAAGCCGAGAATGCTAGGGAAGGTCATGTGGTTGTTACAGTCTGATGTGCATTCTGTCTGGACGGCCCTGACGA